TGCATTTTGACTCCTTTAACAAAATGTCCAAATCATGAAGCATGCCCACCCGTCCCGATGGCACCGCGTCTCGCTGTGACCCACACTCGGGCGGCTGCAAAATCTCTGCGATCAGCGCGATCATCACTTGGCTAGACACATGGCAGTGTCTGCGCTGCATGTGTGCACGGTGCATGTATACACTGTCTGGGTGGATGACCCCACAGTTCGGAGTTCATTCACAGATAAGCTCGGCTTGCTCACGGCCAAAAGTTAAGATTTCTGCAACCCGCCCAGTCATTTAAAAAGTTACCTCACTCGCAAAAGTAGGCCATTGTGTGTGATGGTGTCATAATCTGACGTTTGAAATTAATTCCACGAAAGAACACTGCAATGATTGTTTCTAACTCGTAGTGGACGTGGCTGTTCTTGCAAAAGAAATAATATCCACGACTCTAATTTTCATGGGACTCTAATCGTGTATGACTTAATCTTGTTAAGTAATACTTTTTTATCTATGTATGCTCGATAATTTCTGCGTATTATTTCTAACTACACATGGAGCCCTGACCGAGTGTAAATTTTGATTGATAAAAATCTGACTGAATATCTACATTGCACTTCGGATTTTTCTTGCGCTCTGTACCAGTGTATTACCATTCCTGAGTGTTCACCGGACACCCTAGCCCGTGCTTTGGAGGTCTAGTTCGTGGTGTGCTCTGCTCTATGGATTACAGGGTGGCCAAGAGGTTGCAGTACAGCAAGCGGGTTATTTGACCCATCTTTGCAAACTGTTGAGGTTTTTAGGCGCAAGTAAAAATAAATATTGAAGTATTGTGGTTGACATTTTCTCTGGTAGTAAACGACCTAGTTTTTGTGGAATAAAAAAATAATGAATGCACATCTCGGATAAACGCATCAAACCAACAAATGTAAAACATCGTCTAGCTAGCGTTGTTTGTTTATTGTGGTAACTTTACTTGATTGTTCATTTCCCAACAACTGCGTGCCTGTGAGCCAACCCACACGGTTCACGAGGCCCTTGTTGGTGAAACCGCCCGAGCAGATGTGGGAAGCCGCAAGTCCTGTCCTGCATCGCCAGGGTCTCCACGAACACCGCTCCTCCTCCTCCAGCGGCAGCGCGCTGCGAGGGCGGCGTGTGGGGCGTAAGAATTGTGTTCCGAGGTCTCATATCTGTGCACGTCGAGTAAGGTGAAGTGTCCGCACAGTTTAAGCTCTCGGGGGGGCAGACGTCCTCGCAGCGCACGACTCTTATTTCGTTTGAGAAATTCTGGTTGCTTCCGAACGGGCGATGTCAGCGTTGAAATGCTGATTGCTGTACTACGGCAGGCGTGGTGGTGGTGCTGCTGCGGCTGTGTTGTGGTGTCGCTGCCGGACCCCGCCGCGTCCAGCTGCGCTCTGTCGTGGCCAGGAACTGGCCAGTGCATCAAATCGCTGGCACGGCTCGCCTCCGTTTATTAGTTGTCCAGATAAAAGCGTTGGCAATGATTGTGAATCGCTGTTACGGATATGATGAACGCTAAGCGAAAACTGTTGCGTTTTGGATGGGAGTCAATGTTTTGCATTAAACGGACTTAAAGTTCCCCGCGGTGACTCCCTCTTGTCCTGTTTTAAATCAACAGTGAGCGTACAGTTTAAAGCAGGCATGGCAAACGTGGTTGCTCTGCGCCAAATGCTCATTGTGCGATACGTCAAGCTCGCAGCCCTTATCGATCTACTGCTGGATGGAGGTCTTGATGGGAATCTTGCATGCTGCTCAGTGCGGGGGGGGGGGGGGGGGTGACGAGTTGGCCTATGGCCTGGTCACCACGTGACTTGCCACTGATGTCAGCCGTGGCCAGGTAATGGACTCAAGTTGCCAGGTTCGAAGTTCCACGTGTATCACTACATCACTGTACACCACGTACCGCTTGCAAAAGTGTACTACTTTTAAATTTAGATTGAAAAACTAATTTCTTTAGAAGTGCTTCTCGTGTTTAGTTGTCTTCCCCCTGTACTTCCGGTTCGTAATGTCAGCTACGTACAGTTTGAAAGAAGTTCTACATATATATGTAATGCGTGCTTTTTTAAATACCCAGGGGAAGATTCTCAAACCTACCAGCCAAGAAGCAGTGTGCGTGCGTATTAGACTGCTGTGGCCATACCAGCCTTTGTTTTTGAAAGCGTGGCCTTAAAGAAGCCTGTCTGTATTTGTGAACATCTGTGAAGTATAGCCCTCACTATACAGATGGACAACTTGTGCCTCGCCCTGTGAGAGCGGACAAGCCAGCAGTTAATCCAAGCCCTCCATCTGTCAGGGCTTACAGGCTTGTCAACGAAAATAACACTGTCAAATTGGAGAATCTCCATCATATGAAAAAATGAATGTAGGCGGAGATTACGTAGAAAACAGCAACGTTGGCTGAGAGCAACAATTATTAGGACTCGAGGCATGAATATAAAGCAATCCTCAACGCTAGTCTGAACTGGCAGAGGACATGTATGGGCATTGCAGTGCTGTACATTAAATCCACCTTGCTTAACGATTTGTCTATAGCCTTAGAGTCCTAAACACACTGAATCAGGCAGCCAGATTAGGGTGGGACGTCTGCTGATCATGTGCGTACAAGGGCGGGCCCATGATGTAGCTGCTCACCCCGAGCTCTGAATGTCCCGAGTGCATTGTCCTTGTGCTGGTCGCCTTTTGGCGTCCTCTGGTCTAACACTGGTTGAGACTAGGCCCTAAAGAAAGTCGTCTCTGGTGTGGACCAATCAGTTTCAAATGCATACATACACTACCAGAGCATGGTTTTTTTGTTTGCATGTTCACCACGAGTTTGTGGTTAAGGCAGACCTGATTCCTTGCAAAAGGTTTCAAAAGGTAAAGAAGTGAACTATTTGTCTTTGTCAACGTGACACATTTTTACTGATTGGCCGTGTCGGGTGGTGGAGGGTTACGACACATTTATAAATAAACGCGATCTAAACCCAAAAATCGTTGATTATGAAAAGGTTTCAATTTGGTGTTTAAGCATATTAATACCTGTTTTATTGCTAGAACAGGTAAAACGTATTCTTGTACGTATGTTCAACTTCTTTTGCACGTACGTAGCCAACCGTGCTAATTGGAGGTTTGGGCAAGGTCGACAAACTAAACACAAAGTGGTTTTGAAGAAATTAGTTTTCTGTCCAGAGTTAAAAGTGCATAGCTCCAGTGGCATTCTAGTATCGGAAATAAGTGCGTTTTAGACGGCCGCAGGAGTGCGCCTGAAGCGTGCGATGCGGTAACAGTCTTTGCTCGATGGCCAGCCAAAAGTCGCTGTGAGGATCATGCGTATTATGTGGTGCAAAGGCGAAAAATAAATCTATATATATTTCTATTTTAATAATTGTACATAGAGCGCTGTATACACTTGCGTGCAGATTTGTGTGGGAATGTACGGGTATAGGGTGTGGGTTGCATGTGACTCTATGCTCACATGAAAAAAACAAAAATAAAGAATTCACAGATGGCAGTGGCATTTGGGAAGGGTGCTCTGGCGATAGTGGTTTGTCTGGGAAGGAGCCCGGCCTGGGCAGCAGGCGCCCCGTGGGAACGTGATGGAGAGCAGTGACAGCCGGGGCCCTGCCTGGTGTGGTAACGCCGCACACAGCCGGGGCCCTGCCTGGTGCGGTAACGCCGCACACAGCCAGCGTGCTGCCCCCAGCGCTGCACACGTGACACCGTAGCCTTATGATTGGGTACCCAGGAAAACCTCGCGGAGTCCCGGGACACTTTTTTTTTCCGAGCGAGTCCTGCCAAGTTTTTGCAGTAGCTGGGTGAAGCGGTTTATTTTTGTAATCTTCAATAGTCATTGGCTTGTAATTTTTCACCACAGTTAGTGTTTTTTTACGGGAGGAAGTCGAAGAACCTGGAAGAAACCCATGCAAAATAAAAGGAGAACATACTAACTCCACACAGACAGGTACCCGAGTCACGAGTCGAACCCAGGCTCTGATTGCTGTGAGGGCACGAGCGTTACCAACGTGCCAGCCTGCCGCGCGATAACCACGTGTGTGTGCATTTCTGTGTGGCCCGGAGGACAATCTTGCGTCCGTAGCCAGCGAGTTCACTTTTCAGAAACTGCTGATGTTCGTTCCGCGTCGTTGTTTGTCAGGACACTGCTTGTCGTGGCTGCTGCTGCTGCCCAAAACCCATTTCAGCACTTTTAAGTGAATATGCCCATGGAGTCACTAGTTTGTAATGATAGCCATGCATTTTACAACAAAACATTGGGATATCTAAACAAATATAGACGGCACGTTGCAAAACACACCGCAGCATACTGAAAATGTTTTGTCTGATTTGGGTTGAGCCGAGAGAAATTAACTTTTAATGCTGGCAACATTTCTATGAGAAGCATGTTTTGCATTTACACGAGACTTTTATATTTTTCAAGCGTCGTCTTTTCAAAGTGGCTCATTATTGTTCATAATTAAATTGCAGTCATGATTAAGCCTCTAACTGGCTGCTTGCTACTGTTTGATCAAATCCTAACTGAGACATCCGATTTTCATGACAGGATCCCCTTCATTTCTTTCTGTAACTCCGTCATCCATTGACCAGCATCGGTTGTGGTGACATTGGAGGTAATAACGGCAGCAGTGGTGATAATGATGACCATGGGTTCGTAACTCATAAAAACACCAGTAGGAATATGAGCGCCGTCACTTTCTTATCGGTGGTAATTATGAAGAAGAGTGCTAAAGTTCCACCCAGCGTCTCATGAATATCCACAAGTGAGACGTAAATTGGTGTCCCAAGTACCACGTTATGTTTGTGTGTCACGTCACAGAAGAGGTATAACAGCACTCTCCTCAGTTGTGGCTGCACCTGCAGGACTGGGGTCACACGACCAAAATTTGGCCGGATCGTTACGCGTGTCCGAACCCGAACGGGGATGAATCGGTGTCGAGCTTGTTTTTTCCCACAGTTTTTGATTGGGATTGCTTTGCCTCTGTGCGTGTGTGTGTGTGAGAAGGCACGGGAGCTGTGCCACGGCTCGCTGGGGCAGCCCTACTACTGCGACACGGGCCACTGCTGCGGCGAGTCTGGCTGTTGCACCTACTACTACGAGCTGTGGTGTAAGCGCCGTCGCATTGCGTGCACACGGGCGCACGCGGGTGGCCATGGTCACTTCGCACCTGAGGGCCACGTAGAGCCATAATCTGTAGTTTCTTCCATTCGTTTCTTTCTGCACGTGGTCTGGTAACTTAAATGGCTCGTTTTACGAGGCCAGGCTTAAGATGTCTGCTTTGCTCGGGCATGGCACTTAGTAAGTTAATTCATTTAACAACTCAATCGTGTACGTGCAGCACTTGCTTGCTAAGCAAACGATAATGTCTTCCTCTATTTGATGGGAATATGCTATCGGATGAAAAACAAATAATGTGGTCTAGGACAAAATGTAAAACACACTGAGATAATGGTTTTGGCATGCAGCGTAATGGGAAAAACCAGCAGCCTGCACCAAGCCACCAGGCGTATGCATTACAGTGTGTGTTCAATTTTGACATTGTTTACTTAACAGGAAACGTAATAATTGGACGGCAACCATCAAAAAAATATCCCATGACAGCCAAGTATCATTGAAAGCAATACTTGAAAGAGTTTCTGCATCCATCGCAAACTTGTGAATTTGATCGTTGCATTCATTGGGAACACACTTGCACACGCGTGTGAACACACACGTCGGCAACACACTCCTCCACTTGATGTGTCAGACTGACACAAGTTACTGGTAGCAAGCGTCTCTGGGTATGGCACAGCAGGAGTGGTGATGTGGCCGCCTTCCTCTCGCCGTTGTGGATTTTGACGCGCGGTACCAAGTACCCACGTTGCGCTATTTTAAATAGTTGGAGATGCTCGTGTCCAGTGTTTACTCCATCGTTTTCCTGTTTTGTCTGTACAGACCCCTGAGATGTGGTCGCATGTAGACGCTTGTGTTATTTGACGCCGTTTTCCACCGTTGTGATGCATGGACAAAAAATCTAACTCGGGTCGCTGGAATAAGAATCCATCTATATGTTCAGGAGATGAGTCTTAAGGACTGCTCTATTATTAAATGGGAGTTCATTGCCGTTTTAATAATGGTTAATATAAAAGGAGAATGTGTCGTAACACATACTTTGGCCACCATCGTGGATGTTATGGAATGTATGCCGTAGAATGTGCTCTTAAACAAAAGTCTAAATTACGTTGAGCTATTGGGCAGGAGAAAATGCAAGAAGGAACCAGATGACTGATCACAACTTCTGAAAGGGGACTTGAAATATTTTTAAGATATGATTTAATTTAAACGTGAACTGTTGTGCAATGACACCCAAGCGTAAATAATGTTTTACTATTTGCTTTACCATGTTCAACCAACTGAGCTACTTGCTCTTTCAGAAGCGATCTGGCCGCAGAAGTATCTCGTGTGGAAATTCGTAGCAGCCAAATACTCTAAACGCGTGACGTTGATTCTAAATGTGGAGGGAAAAACTGGGGGACCCAGAGAGAAATCTACGCGACCGTGGGGAGAGAGACATGCAAACTCCAAACATGCAGGCGAGGGAGATAACCATCTTGCCACCGCGGTGCCCCAAATACTACTATCAGCCCCAGCACGCGCTCCGCGATGTTTACATGCGAACAAGCACGGACCCATACAGGCACTCAAGGACACAAGCGCGCATTCACGAGGGACATTCTTTCCATCCTCCAGCTTTGCTGGGTTGGAATTTGACTTGATCTTCATCATGTGGATTTAAACGCAGGCTATCGTAGTGTTTACTCCGGTAAGAGGTAAAATCCTGGTCGGGGTTTCTCAGCCCGTTGTGCTAATCGCATCACTGGGTAGGGTTGTGTAGAAAGCCACATTGTTGCATACGAGGAGACGGAGGGACGGTCTACTCAATGCGTCTTCTATCTACATCCTCCGCACAAATTATCTTAAGCCCTTGACGTGCCGTGGATATCAAGTTGTCCACAATGAAGGGGTTTGAGCAGCGCCTCAACTAGGTTAATGCTTTTATGTTCTCGACATTGATACTTTGTGTGCACAGAGTGCAGCGATAAATGGTAATGAAAGCAGATAATTGGAGGGCAGCAGCAGAGGTTACGATGCAAATTGTTGGCAGATTCGGGTTTCCGTTGACGATAAGCAGCGGCGCTGTGAACCGACTTGATGTCGGATGTTTCCAATCCATTTAACCAGATTTAGCACTGTTAATGTAATTGCAGCAATAACGTGTTTATTTGCTTCTACGCACGTAAGCCACTTAAAAAATATCCCCAAACCTCGTAAATATAGTGGCTCACTGCTCGGAATTAATTTTCCGTAGGCACCAGTTGAGTGACGTAGTTGTTAGCGCACTGCACTAAGAATCGGTGAACTGAATTTGATTCCCAGCTATGGCTAACATGAGTGGCGAGTGATCTGAACTCGTCCTCTCCCACACACTCCTCGCCAACCCACACTAACCAATATGGTGAAGTATGGTTAAACATCCCTCGGCCAGCAGTGGTTTGACAAAGGGCAGTAAATTATATGTTTATATGCCTCGTGGACCTCCTGTGAATAATTGCGAGTGTGCGATTTTAAGCATCGAGTACTTGCGCTGGTATTCCCTTGTGTGTCTGTGTGGGGAGCGGTGGCGCAGTCATCAGTGCGCTGCGCTACGAACCTGGCGACCCGAGTTCGATTCCCGCTCACGGCCAACACCAGTTCCAATTATCTGAACCGGACCTCGGCCTCCCCAAGGTCAACTCTGCCTCAAATGAGTACCTGGTGCCGTGTGTAAACATTCTCCCTGGGGAGACAAAGGCAGTCGGCGTGGTGCTGGCCACCCACCCCCTTATGTGCTGTTTCAGCGATAATATGCGCTCGCTAACGGAACTTGCCCCAACAGTCTTTTAAGGCTATTCGGGTGGGTCTTTGTCTTTGCCTGTGTGTGTGAGCAGGGTTCTGGTTGGTGTGGTCTCTCATCATCCTGCTGAGCTGCTGCTGCGCTTATTACCACCGCCGCATCAAGATGCGCTCCCAGCTGCAGCAGCGACAGCGACAGATCAACATGCTGGCCTTCGAGGGAGCCAACAATTACCCCGAGCCTCCACTCGACATACGTAAAGGCTCGCACACCTGCACACGCGCACATGCACACGCGCACATGCACATCAGAGACAAAGATGGCCCATATAACCTTTAACGTCGGGGGGAGGTGCTGTCAAGCGAGCACCTATTAAGGCCAGCACGATGTACTACGGGATGGGTGGATGTTTGTATGCTGCACCAGGCATTAATATAAGCCTGGGTTGATCTTGGGAGGGCCCAGGTCCGATTTTGGATATTCATTACCAATGTTAACGGGAATCGAACTGGGTCTGTTAGGTTTGTAGTGCAATGTGCTAAGGCCTGCACCACCGCTGCCCGTGTATACATCATTCTAACATGCACCCTGACGTGAGGATTGTGTGCCTCGGTGATGGACAACTGTAAGTAATGCACTTCTCCCTCTATCTCTCTTAAAGGGCTCATGGCCATGTACAAGCTGCCGGCCTATGAAGAAGTGGTGTCTCCTCACAACACCCCTCCTCCTCCGTACAGCGCTCTGCATCAACACTCTTTGCTTACCAGCAACTCGGGGGACGGTTGCCATGAAACTCCTCGAGACGAAGCCGGCGTCTCGGCTGCCTCTTCCATGCGGTCGTTGACCCAGGATCCATCCACGGAAGCGGTGCCCCTCCTCGAAGGGGCGGCCGTCCCCAGCGAGGGTGCCCTCCAGGACCGTGCCCAGACTCGGGTCTCGTCGCCTACGGCCACTTGCGCTTTTGAAGAACCCGACCAGAATGATTTTTCAACGCAGGCTGTGACCCTGGCGAAGGCCACGTCCCAGCCCATTCTGCTGGATGACGAACGTCGGAGTTGTGATGGCACCCTGGCCTCTGCCCCTGACGACGTAGCGCACCTCTCCACGGGAGTGACGGCCAGCTCCCTGGACCGGCGTTCCGAGAACGCTGTCGGCGCCAAGCGCCAAGCCGCCGGGGCACCACCCTCTGCCCCGTCGGCTTCGGAAGGAACCGGCGCAGAGGTCGCCTCGCCGCTCGAGCCAACCGCCCAGCGGCCAGCGCCGCCGCGATGCCACTGCAGCTCCGAGAGCGGCCACTGCGGTCCCGGGGCGAAGGACAATGACGACGACGGCGGCGGTGGCAACGAGGAATTCCGTCAGCGACTTCTGACTCGGGACTCCGGCATCGACGTGTGCATGTGCGAGCATCGCCACGCCTCGGTCGCCCCGCAGTGCGGTGGCAGCGGCGGCATCGGGGAGAGCGATGCCGGGGCGAGCGTGGGGGAGAGTCACGGGGAAGGGGGGGAGCGCCTGGTGCCAATCGCCAGCATCCCGGAGTCGTGCGAACTCTGCGAGGCGCGACCCGCAGCTGCTGCCGCCTGCAGCAGCAGCCGACGGGGCTTTGCTTAAACCCATTGTTCGTAACAATGGGGAGACACAGGCACTCGTGTGACCGTGCGGAAGTGACGCGCGCACACCAACCACTGTAGCTCGGGGAAATAAACAAAAACACATTCTTTTGAGAAGACCTCGCCGTCGTAATTCAGCCTCTTTTTTTTTCACTCGCCTACCTTCGGTTGCTCATAGTAGGCTGTGTAATCACTAATTCACCTTGTGAATTCTGAGCTATGTTTTTCGGAACTAAAACTTTAGCATCGATTGCAGGCTTAGGACAATTTTACTTAACAGCTCGGCGCACTCCTAATTGCTTTATGAACTGAACAACTTTTGCTCTTCCAACTGTTGCGACAGTTTCGGGTTGGTGATTTGTGTCTCGAGTGTTCACTTTGCGATTTCCCTTCGTGTGTAAAACTGAAGGATGTGGCGGCGTTGACGGCATGTGGCCCACGCACCTCCCAGCCAACACCCGCCGGGCACACCTTTGCTCGACAGCCAATTGTCAGAGTTGGTGCTTTTCGATCTCGGGTGTGATGTGCTGCATCGCTTTTGCAGGTGAAGCCGTGAGTGATGATTTAGGTTTTTCCTTCCCCCACAATGCAGCACCCATCACGACAAGGGCGATGTTGTGGCACGCGACTCTACGGTGGAGATCCGCCGCGTGGTGGTTGCGTTGGCCAGGCACCACTCTGTTCTTGCGTGCAAAGTGCCCAATTTATTTTTGGGTTTTCGTTGAATCCTCATGCATTCCAGGTGTGGCCAATTAAAGGAAACTGAAGTCATTAATCCCACCGACATTGCCAAGGTCGTTGACGTAGCGGTTCAACCGCAGCATGGTGTGGTCGCCTCGCCACACACCTGACCTGCATGAGGAGAGGGCTTGTAGCTTCCTGTGTACTATTGGTTGTGTGTGTCGTCCTGTCGTGTGATGTTAAGAATCTTACCTGTGAACTAACAGCCTATAGTTGTAGACCGTGTCTGTGATGTAGGAGGGGTTGCCGAGGGTGGCTCTCAGCCAACGCCAAAGTGTGCATCCACGTTGTGTGGAGCATTGTCACTCGCTCAATATAATAATGATGAGAACATGTTGGTTTTCTTGGCTAACCAGCACTTATGCCTACAGCCGAGTCGTGATGTTAACGCGTTTTCCGTTATTTTGACGGACGTTTTACCATGGTGGGGCTGCAGTGGTGTTGAGTGGGTAGTGCTGATGAGTGCCGATTGCGTTGTAGTGCACGTATTAAATGCATTATTTACACGAAGTAATAAACTCATTATTCTGTGGCCCTTTTTGAAAATGATTACTTTATAAGCTGATATAAATATATATGGTCACTAGACTTCAATAGCCCGCTGATTTATATCATACTTGCGGTGCGCGGATGCAGAAATGCAAGTTTGGCGAGACCGATTCTACGTCTTCACGCGTGTGTCTTCGTGTAAGATTCGATGCATTTGGGTGGCCCTGGCTTCCACGTACTCTCTGTGAACAATAAAGTAATACTATTTTTACATGGAGAGGTCTGCGTGCTTTCTTAAGTTTTGAATTGATGTCTGTCAAATTAACATGAGCACAGATTTGCATGTAGATTTGTCTGCGAGCAGCCATCAACCAATTCCCACCCACAATTTAAAATGCCGCCCCTTATGGCCCTACCGGGAAATCTACTAAACAATGGCACACGGGGCATCTCGTGCCCTGGGGGGACCTCGGCATGATAAATGCCGGTCTCTCCGGGATTGCAGGACGCACTCTGTTCCCCTGTATTTGACAGAAAAATATTTTGGCCGCATGTCCAAATAACCCGGGAGCTGTGCGAGCCGCGATGTGCAACGTGTTTGACACCGTGCACGGGTTTAGGATTGCGTCTTACAATGCGTAGAATAGGGTCACGCAGCTCATGGTAAGCTCCTTTTCCTTAACGCTCCTGATGTTCAATCCGCTATAAGTGCATCTTTCGTCTGTCGTCCCCCGTCTCAAGGGGCATCGCATGTCAGTCTTGGGTGCCTTCGGAATTCCAAAACATGGAAGTGGCTCGGCACACGGAACAAAAGTGCTAAGACCGTGACAGCGCGGACGAGAGGAGCCGGGTTCCCTTGGTGTCCGAGCCGGGGAATGGTCCAAGCTGAGAAGAATGAGTCGCAGGTGGCGCTGTCTCCCTGCGAGTAAAGCGATTCTACCGAGTGGCCATGTTACTTTTTCATGAACGGTTAAACATTCAAATAAGTATTCCCTGTAAGCATTGCCCCATGGCGTCATGGGAATCGTGAACACAACACCAATACGTTATAAGATGGGTATTATGCAGGCCAGCCACAGACTTGTCTTCTAAAGGATTATCGCACCAACGGGAGATTGTGGCAACGTGAGAGTAAGGGTCTTGATACCACGGTGACTCTTCATGATAAAAGCATCGCTGGCATTGCAGAACGTTTATCAGGTGAGATGTTCAGCTTGTATCAAGGAGATATTGCTTGGCAACTTTATGCAATTCCTGGAAGGGAAGGGCTTGTCAAGAGCCCCAGATCTCGTTGGGTGCAGGGGAGGCAACGGGTGGATGTGGGTCGATTGGTGCACATATTTTTTCTACTTTCCACGCATCGAATTACACGTGCAATAATAAATATGATTTTGAGTTGTGAGCTATGGGGTCACATTTACCTCTAAACACGAGATAAGCCGTACCTTACAGCAACGGTAATCGATCACTTAAATGAGCCGCAATCCGGAATCGCTCCAAGTCATCAAATTGAGGCGGGGGAGGTTGTGGATCTCTGTGTTAAGGCCACGTGAAGCGTCGCAGATTCACACTCTCAGAGCTCGGGTGAGGGGGGGGGGCTCGGGTGAGGGGGGGGGCGATTGTGACGTCACGTGCCGCGTGCACCCAAAAAGGAGAGAACACCACCCCCCTGACGAGCCAAGCGACGATTCGTGAAGCGCCGGGGTTGTGCTGCTGCTGCTACTTCTGCGTTGAGTCTCGGTCAGCACGAGAGGGCACCAGAGATGACGCCGCCTGCAGAGCAACGCGCGCGCTGCGAGTCCACTCGCCGGGCAGGCGGGAGGAGCCGTCGAGGGCCGATGAGTGGGTTCGGCCTGCACGCGCCACTGATGTTGGCCGTGCTCGGGACTCGAGGTTCTCAGCACATCGCTTCTCCAGCGCTCCCCACCGAGCGGTAGGGACCGTGGCTTGCAAGGGCACGAGTTCAATTCCCAGGCAAGTCCGACTTGGTGAGAAAAAGCATCGTGCGGTGAGGATTCTGGGAAGCTGCGCCCCCGGCATAGGAACGTGGAAGTTGGGGACACTTTGACTTTCATCGCCAGGACACGCGCATCCCCTTTATGTTGTACTGCGCTTCCACAGCTGGATGATACCTCCCTCCCCCACGCTTTGCAGGTCACAAGGCATAGTTGACCATACTTCACCACGCTGGTCAGTGCTGGTTTGTGAATGTGTGGGGATGAGTGCGGAACACCGGCTGATGCTGCACACCAGCTCATGCTGAACAATAGCTAATGGTGCACTCCAGCTGATGCTGCACATCAGCTGATGCTGCACACCAGCTGATGCTGAACAATAGCAGATGCTGCACTCCAGCTGATGCTGCACTGCCCTCTACTGCCCTCAATGCCCACTGCACCTGTCAACGTGGCGAGCTGCTGCTGGCGCTACGAACCCCGGCCACCCGAGTTCGATTCCTGCTCACGGCCAACGCCGGTGACGATTATTTGACCCGGTCCTGGGTCTCTCCTGGTGTAACGGTGTGTAGTGAACATCGCCACTGGGGAGACCAAGGCGGCCGGGCGTGGTGCTGGCCACCCACCCCCTCGTGTGCCGTTCCGGCCTTCGTCGGTGCTACTTGCTAACAGCACTTGCCCCCACAGTCAGTGGAGGCTACACGGGGGGTCTTTGTCTTTGGTTGTCCCCCATCCAGGTGCCAGGTCCAGGTTCGATCCCAGCCCTGCCGAGGCTGGCGGCCGCGTTCCGCGTGAATTGGTCGCAGGCGACCTCCCAGGGCTCGATACAAACCCACTCACGACTGCAGGAGACTTTACATATCGTCATTGAAGACACCAGTTTAATTTTGTAGTGCAAATAATAATGACATTTTATGTTGTGCTTTAACATTGATAATGAAATATGTATATAAACTATATACTGTAGTTACAAGAGTGTGGCATCGTCGTCAGTACAGCAAGACTGCGATTCACTTAACTTGGGTAACAGAGTACACGTGATAGACACATGATAGACACATGTAAACATGAGAGGCGAGGTCTGTATAACAACGGGCAGGTATAAACCATTTAAACGATGCACACTATCGTACATTATATTAACTAGATTCTCCTTGAACACATATCGGCGTGTGTGTCCCAACAGTTACCTGGCCATAGTATATTTGTAATATCGGGATGCGTGGTGCCTCTACAACATTCACCACTTCGCAACGCCTCGCTTGAGTTCGGGAATGGTCTCTGGTGGCCATATGGATTGTTGTTGTTGTTGTGGCCGGGTGGTAGAGGGTGTTGCAGGTGAGGGTGTTGCAGGTGAGGGTGTTGCAGGTGAGGGTGCATGCGCCCATTTGCTACACAGTATGCATACACAAAACCATCGTGACCTTCAGAGTTCATTGAGTCGCACCTGCCTGCACCTCCGATTAGAGCGGTTGGCTACGTACGGCGCGAAAGAAGTCCCAACATACTCTTTGGTTCTTTCGGTAAGTCCCAACATACAGACGGACACAGTCAGCACTTCCTGTTGTAGCTAGAGTCTCGGTCTCGACGTCGACAACCCCAGGTGGAATTTTAGATTTCGTTGAATAATTTTATCATTGTCCAGTTGACTAAAGCAGTCACATGTTGAGTCAAACACTCATTAAATGTTGGTTTGAGGGACACAACTTTTCAGTGGAGTTCAAGATTGCCATCGCCGGTCTCCCCGCTCCGTGGCCTTCCACGTGGTCTGACCGTCCTCCTCAAATCACGACGCCTCGGGTCAACCCTCGGACACCGAGGACCTCACCCTTCCACCGGCTCGCGGTCGTCCCGCGACGAACCCCAAGACCGACTTGCTCGGCGGTCGCTCCGCTTGTCGTGGGACTTCAGGGCCACGATGCCAAACACGAACTCCGCTCGTCGTGGCCCCCGCCGCTGCGACGAGCGGCCGCAGCGGCGGGACGGCCTCTGGCCACTGTCTGGGGGCTTCATCCCAACGCCCGTGGTCGACATGACATGGCAGACATGGCACGGCAGACATGGTACGTCACGCTTCGGAGGCCGAGCGCTAGAGGAAGCGTGGCCGTGGGCGTCCCCGCGCGCGTCCTGCGTCGCCGCCGCCGCCAGCGCTCGCCACTGGCTCGCGGCCCAAGGCAAATGACCGCCCTGGTAAATACTGCCCGGTTAAAAAACTTCACGTGATGTGTGCCGGCAATCATGGTCTAAACGTACAAAACATTTATATTTACTGTCACATTGCCTCATTGGGTAAAGCTAGATGACAACTTCTGCTGAGAACCTTGCAGACAACGTCCAGCATATGCACCATAGCCTTGCGCGATAGAGATACCTTGACCAGTCCGGCGGCTCTCAATCCCTCGGTCGTGCTAGACGGTCACCCCGTAGCGGCGCCGTTGGAGGGGCCACTGAGTCACCGTGTGTTGGTTGTTAAACGGCCTGCAGCCTGCGTGTGCCTCGGTGGTGATTAATGTTTGGACCAACATCTCTCTCATGAAGAGTAAATGTTGCCACATTGAGATGCCGTTACGTCTGTGCACGTACAGCCCTTTTCTCAAGCCACTGCAGGATGAGTCGCGGGGGTTGATCGACTCCACTTCACCACACTGGTCAGCGTGGTTGGTGAAGATAGGTAGCATAGAAGTAAAGTACAATGGATTATGCCGCACTTGCCATCTGCTGCCCACGACTTAGCCCCTAAAGCGTGATGAGAACGTTGCGTGTGCGTCCATCTCTGCACTCTCCAGGCTCCCCTCGACTTCCCATCTTAGATCTGATGAGACCCGTACATTCTGAGTGAGTTGGTCATTAGCGTAGACAATTCCTATAATCATCACGAATGCACTACAGTATTGGCTACACCGTAGTTGACAAGCATCAGAGTTCTGAGGTTATGGAAATCACAGCATCAGGGAAAGTGCAACATTTGCGTAAAGTTGTTCCTTTATCGGGAAGAATTCTGCATTCCGTGTGCATTCGACAGCATCCACCAATCGTGTCTGTATGGTGTGCAGTACTTCGTCTTCTGTCGTACGGCGTGGTGCAGGGCGGCCGGCAGTCGACCGCACACCCCATCGGCCGTGCGACAGTCCGTGCTTCAGAGTTTGGGGGCGATCGAAAAGCCGGGAAGGCTCGCAAACCCCCGACTCGTATTTCGCGCCGACGGGCAGCACGGGACCCCGGGTCCTGCTGCGAGCGAACGCGAACCGCCCGGCGTCTGATCTCAGCTCACGGGTCGCGTCGCCCGCGGCCGTGCCGGGCCACGCACGGCACGGCCCTTCTGGCCTGTGCCTCCGCCCGCAGAGGCCTCCCGTGCCAACGGAGCTCGCTAGGAGCAGTCAATGTGGATGACGTTCGCTCAGAGCTCGCTAGGAGCAGTCGATGTGGATGACGTTCGCTCGGAGCTCGCTAGGAGCAGTAGATGCGGATGACGTTTTCGCACGGGCGGCGACACAGGGGGCACTCGCAGAGCAGCGTGGCGCACGTCTCGCACACGCAGTAGTGGCCGCACGGGACGAAGGCGGCCTGCCGCGGCCCGTGCATGCACACGACGCACTCCGTGCCGGCCGGAGCGCACGCGGCGCACACGGAGACGTCGCGCCGCCGCAGTGGCGGCGGCGGTGACGGCGGTGGCGGCGGCGGTGACGGCGGTGGCGGCGGTGGTGTCCGGAGCGCCTGGGGCGCGATCGGGAGAGTGACGCGTGCGGAGCTGCGCCCCGAGCAGACGGGCGGCTGGACGGTCGTGCCTGTTGGACACAGACACGGGTCGAGCATTCGCTGTGAACTCTCAATGGCATCGCGCACGCGAGACCCATAAACCCAGCGCTTGCGCAAGAGACGATTCGATGCAAGATGTTGAAATCTCTCCGATGTGTACGCCACGATATCCGACGTTTCACTACCGCGAGCCGTCGGACGCCGTGTGCCGGACAACACACGGCACAACCCAAACACACAACAGAGGACTGTACTGTCCAGCACGGCCGTGAAAGACCGACGCGGTGGTAATTTGGTTTTGTGAATGTTTCGTCTCGCCGAACTTCTCGTAATGGTGCCGATCAAATGCCGGTCCTGGGCCACGTGCTGGGATTCCTGACACCCAGCCGACGCGAGCCGCAGCAGTGGAAGTGAACGGCAGCTGCCTTGGCCATCGCTCGCAAGCCACGGCTGACGTTGAGTAGCGCTGGGTGGGGCGATGGCGACCAAAATTCCGCTGAGAGCGATATAAGAATATATTTGAACAAACTCGTTGTTGTTCTTGTCAAGAACGTACTGCAGGCGTACAGTTGCACGCAAAGTGGCACACACCTATACTAAAGTTTCTGGTTGGGCAGCTTTGATTTGTTTTGCCATAGCAATGTGAAGTTGTGTGCATGATTTCATTCAACTTAAATGTCCCAATCTCGTGTAAATTTGAAAGAAGCCTCCGAAGAGATAGCCAAACGACAACGGCTGCAGCTGAGTAAATCAGATGAGGGGAATGAGAACGTGAAGAGTTTCACCCAGGGATTGAAGTGGCTAACGAGATGAGAGAGTTGGAGGGAGAGTTGAGCGTGTGGGGATAGGGCTCGGGAGAGAGTGGCAGGCTGAGCTGCAAGTGAAGACATCTCAAAACTCGTCAAGGAGCGTAAACCACCACCACCGGGCACCCTCGCAGCAGCGGCGGCTCTTGGCTGCTGCCATCGAACAAAGGCGGCGGTCACCGCGTCGCGTGGCGCTTTCAGACGCGCTTCTGCGGCCGTCTGAAACGCTCTTCCGATATCAAGAAGCCACTGAAGCTATGCACTTTTAATTCTAGATCGAAACCTCAATTCTTCTGAACTGCATTAGTGTGTTAGTTTGTTGTTCTTCCCCTGCACCTCTGATTACCACGGTTGGCTGCGTACGATGCGAAAGAAGTTCAACGTACGCACGTGCGAACCTCCGTTGTTAATCTCGCGTGATTTTGACGAAAGTGACCGTAGCCCCCGGTTGACAAACAAAGACGCGGACGCAGGGACGCGCGGGGGGGGGGGGGGGACCTGGTGTGTGAGTGCGTGAGGAGCAGCAGCAGCAGTAGCAGCAGCAGTAGCAGCAGTAGCAGCAGCAGCGCACCGAGGAGCTGCACGTCTCGCGTGGTGCCGTACACGTCCACGACGGCCCAGAGCGGCAGCCGCGCCTCCACGCGTCCCTTCAGGCGCCAGACCCTCGCGCGGCCGTGCCGGCGCGAGCTCCCGGGCAGCCAGGCGCTGCAGAACATGCTGCCGTCCGCCTGCACCCAGAAGGCGATCTCGGCACCCTGCACGGCCAACTCCTCGGGCACGCGGTCCGCCCAGCTGCCGCGCTGGTCCACCAGGTCCGGCAGCGCATACGGTGGCAGCGCTGCACGGGCGCGCGGGGGTGGTGGGGGGGAGAAGGCGTGTGGGTTAGGCGGATGATGAACGCGGATTTTTCGGAGAAGGCCGAAGGTGGTCGTTTTGGTTAAATTGCTCGCCGCGATCGGCCGGCTCGCGTGGGGCTGAACGGCTTCGATTGCGGATGCTGCCACGGTAGCGCGGGTTCTGGGTGGCGACGTTGACGACCCCGGCACGTCGTCGTCACGTGCTCGGTGGACAATAGAGAGGGCTTCATGCAAAGGTACAGTCCATTGACAAAACACCCCAATGTGTTGGTGTTGTGCATTGCCCCACGACGCTCTCCGGCTTGGTGCTCATTCTGAGTGCATCTGCGCTGTGTTGGAGGCAGCTGTCCCGTGACAACTTTTCGTCTTCCCAGGTCATTACAAGCCCGCTGCGTGACGATAGACCACTCAATGATTGCTGCGAAAGTGTTTCCCAGTGTTTTCTCACCCCGAACCGCGCAATGGTGCACGGTTCGGGGTGACTGCTGCGAAAGTGTTTCCCAATTGTACCGAGTGACGCTGACACACGTGGGCCTACTTTTCCCAATTGGACCACACGACTTTACTTTTCTCTGAAATCACATCACGAAATCTGCAACATCCACTGGTAAGCAGCGTTGGGGCAGCGTTAACCGGGATCGGCCGTGGGGATCGAACCCGCGGAACTTCTTCTGCGACCGCCTCGAACCGCGGGGGGTGGGGGGGAGAGGTCGGCACGAGGGGGCGCGGACTCACGCAGCGCCATGGTGTCGGGGTCCCGGCTCGTGAACCCCACGCGCAGCGCCCCCTGCCACTCGGAGTCGCGTGGGCCCAGGCGCACGTGGACGCGCTCGCACGGGCGCACGGGCCGCGCGCTCAGCGCCAGCCCCCCGCAGAAGCCCTTGCGGCGCGTGGCGCGCGTGCCCCGCTCGTCCAGGCGCACGTTGGCACCGCGCACGGCCGCGTGGAAGTGCAGGTCGGTGCCTGGTGCGAGACGGGATGGGCGGGGGGGTCACGGGGGATGGGAGATGATGATAATTAGTACATTTTATAGAGCGTGATTCGTGCCAACAGCATCCCGCGACGCTGTGCATTCATTATATTTAAGGGCCAAATCTCATTTCCGTGGTTGGGTGTGCATGGTGCGAAATAAGCCCAAGACACACACATAGCAAATGGAAACCCTAATTCCAAGCGAAATAAAAAATGAATAAACAAAAATGTGTGAGTTTTCGTTGCAACGTTAGTCTTCGTAAATGTGTTATCCTCGTCACGGCTAACATCAGTAGCAAGCAATGTCTAAACCCACCAACCCGCACTGCCCAGCCTGGTGAAGTATGGCCACTCACTGACATGGCATCCAGCAGTGAATTAACAAAGGGATTGCGCATTTTTATATTTATTCCAGCATTCTGTCCACTGAACAAGGGTAGAGTTCACGAGCGTATACACAGGAGATGTATTATGACGTGCACATAGAGGATCGTATAAGGAGGTGTTTACATTACTACACGGATTCTCCTCGGGGCCCTCTGGTTTTTCCCTCCACATTCAGAATCAACAACGTTACGCGTTTAGAATATTTGGCTGCCGCTATAAATCCCCACGCGATAAGCCACTCCGATCGTTTGTGATAGCCACGTCGCGTTTGAATAAGAGCTACATAGCTCAGTGGGGCCTACCTGGAAAAAAATAATAATTCAGAGTTTTAACAAAACAGCGACGAATGCAGTAAGAGGCTGTAAACACCCTAAACGGAAATGAACTAAAATGTTACAACTGCTGTGGATAAACGCGATTTCTACTGTGGTTACTTGAGTACGACATAGCATTTACATCGGGTCAATTGTATCGGCTCGTCACGCCGTGAGAACTGCCCGGCGCCTTGCCACGTGGTGAGCGCATCACTCCGCACTTCCAGGTGCGCTTCTGCGGCCGTCTGGAACGTTCTTCCTTCCGATTTGCACGGTTGGTTACGCACGGTGCGAAATAAGTTCAACGCACATCACTACACATCACTATGCAGTACACTACGCACACTTTGCTATACACTGAACAATACAAAACTATACTAAATTGAAAACTAATTTCTTTAGAACTGCTAGTTGTTGATGTGTTTAGTTTGTGTTGTTTTATTACTTACTGTCAGCGCGCTAAAATAAAGTAAAACAAGCATGCAATGCAATTGGTATTTGCCAAACATCCCCCAACGATTACAGATATGATGACCTGTAAAAAATACTTCGTTGGGGAACACGTAGAGCAGCATTGCCCCCTGCTGAGAAAACTTGACAGTCTCTCTCCCAGCGGGCAATACACTCAATGGTCTACAAGCGACTGGACACGAAGCTCTTGATCGTCACTTTGGAGGAACCCCAAATTTTCTGCGACGAGTAATTAACACACGGGGTTGTATTTCCCAGCAGGTCGTATCTTAAATTAGCTTGGGAAACTGGAACTATTACGTGGTTCAAGGCATACGGTCGGCTTTGTTTATCGCGTTGCTTTGTCTCAAACAAAAAAGGAACGCGTACACCTCCGCGGGAGATGTCAAACAAACATTGGCGTCAACCCGCGACGTCGCGTCAACACGATGTCGCGTCGACACGACGTCGCGTCGACACGACGTCGCGTCAACACGACGTCGCGTCAACACGACGTCGTGTTGACGCCGGGACTGCGATTAATGACGTCACAGGACGCCGCCGCCTGCCACACAAACCCGTGCGTCTGGTCACCTGGGTCACGGCCTGTGCCATTATCCACAAGGGGCACCGAGGTAGAATAATAATAATACACTGCACAGGACGAGCGCAGTGGCACTGGTGCCACGCATTCGGGATAACTTGACACATACATGTACGTGTTTACATTCTCGTCACTCCATGCTGGATGAAGATCTCCCCCATGCCTTTTGGTCATGGTGGGGGGAGGGGGGTGTTGATCGACCATATGGTAGGGGTGCGTTCATCCCCAGGACAGCCACCGCCGACTCATCTACTCGGCAGGAACGATGGGCCGAGTCGACCCTCAATTGCGAGTCGCTCGCCCTCGCGCCCGGCCGGTTACCGTGTTCCCCCAGCTCCGAATGAATGAAGGGAACGACCGAACGAGAGGAAGGATAGACGACGACTCTTACACGGCGAGGCAAACCCGGCTGGCTTCAGCGTGCGACCAGCCTCGCGTGGAAATTCTCGCCGCTGGCGCATGAGATCCACCAGCCGGTCAAGAGACCTTGTGCGTCCCAGCACCACGCGTGCTCGTGCAGAGCCACGCAGCAGACACACGGCCCCGGCACAGCAGCGTGGAGTGGGGCCGAGCTCTCCACGCGGCAGGCAGACGGACGGGGCTGGCAGGCGACGGTGAATCCAGATGGTAGCCGTCGATATCACGACCAAGAGGCGTGGGAATGAGCGCAGAGGAGGCTGTGTGTATGTTGAACTTCGTTCGCACCGTACGGAGCCAACCGTGCTAATCGGAGGTACTTTTGTCGAATGAGGGTGACTTTAGTCCAGGTCAGGCGTCCAGGCAGGATCTCGTATCGGTGAGCTCAGCTTGAAAAGGGCGCTCACGGAGAAGACCCCAGGGAGACTCAACGTGAATGGAATCGACACCGAAGCCGAGCCACCTTGGAATGAGTCCCATGTGGGAGTGTTTCTGGTCTCAGCTGGAATGAGTGTCACGTGGGAGTGGTTCTGGTCTCAGCTGGAATGAGTGTCACGTGGGAGTGGTTCTGGTCTCGGCTGGAATGAGTGTCACGTGGGAGTGGTTCTGGTCTCGGCTGGAATGAGTGTCACGTGGGAGTGGTACTGGTCTCGGTTGGAATGAGTGTCACGTGGGAGTGGTTCTGGTCTCAGCTGGAATGAGTGTCACGTGGGAGTGGTTCTGGTCTCGGCTGGAATGAGTGTCACGTGGGAGTGGTTCTGGTCTCGGCTGGAATGAGTGTCACGTGGGAGTGGTACTGGTCTCGGTTGGAATGAGTGTCACGTGGGAGTGGTTCTGGTCTCAGCTGGAATGAGTGTCACGTGGGAGTGGTACTGGTCTCGGTTGGAATGAGTGTCACGTGGGAGTGGTACTGGTCTCGGCTGGAATGAGTGTCACGTGGGAGTGGTTCTGGTCTCGGCTGGAATGAGTGTCACGTGGGAGTGGTTCTGGTCTCGGTTGGAATGAGTTGTCCGCTCGAGGCCGTTCCCCTTCCTACAGGGATATTTGATGACGACACCCAAGTCCCTTGTCGCTGTGATGGGGCATGGAGAGTAGCTCGTGGCCAACCCACGAGCGGCGCTGCCGAGTCGCCTATGCAGTGGAGGCCAAGGGTTGGCGGATCACCAAGTCGCGTGAGAATCCCACACATTTGAACTTGACTTGATGTTCTGCTCGCGTGGCTCCAGTTGGTTGGTGCGACGCATGCCGCGTGTCCGTCGCGTCTCGACGCGGAGGGCATCTCGCATCTTCGAACGCTGTTCAAGTCGGGAGTGCGATCTCGATCGCTTTCGCGTTTGGCGGCCAATCGGTCAGCAGTTCGAGGCGGACGGAGGAGAAGAGAAACACAACGGGCGACCACAAAGACTGGGTGAAGACTGGGTGAATAGTAACGGCAGGGGGGCCGCTCGTTATGTTTATTTGCATGTATTTTTTTGAATCACCGCCGCGGGCAGTTGGCTCTGCGGTTGTTGGTTGAACGTGAGAGGGACCCCCCCCCCCACCACTACCCCCCCCCCCCCCCGCTCTCTGCGATTGTGCCCGCGACGCCACAAACGAGCGTGCGAGCGCGTCCCGACAAGCGCGGGCACGAGTGGAGGCGCGACGGCCTCGCGTCTCCACTCCACCACAGCGGCCCCCCCGACCCCCACAGCACTCGCTGCCTCGCTCGCCGTGCCTCGCTGCGTTCACGCTTCTACAACAACACGCGCGTGAAGTTAGTTCGTTTTTTTTTTTACAGTGACACCCCTGCAAGAAAATCTCTATACATCATTCCCCGTGGTCGCGTGGATTTTTCTGCGGGTCCTCTATTTTTCCCCCTCCACATTTAGAATCAACATATATTTGGCGGTATGATGTATTACGAGCCTTTTGCCCGTCCAAGGACGGGTGTCTTGCAGCAAATCTGAAACTTGCAAGCGAAAAGCAGACCGCGACGTGATATTCATTGCATCAATTCGTGTGCACTTTGTGAGGCCGCGATGACACGGACTTATTTCATGTAAAGGTTAATCCCTTGTTCATCACGACGTCCTTTTTAATTGATGTCTCAACAGCGTTACGGAGATCGCGTGGCGTGAGGGTTCTGCCTTTGTAGTGAGGGTTGTCAGTTGACACCGAGGGAGGAAACTCCCACTCACTGGCCTCCGCCATCCAAACAACAGCCACGCAGAGTGACTCCTCCGAAGTCAGCGCACCAACACCGATTGTCCACCCTCGTGTCAGCGACCTGCGCTTCACGGCCCACGCCAGCCCGTCCCGGTGTCCCGACCATCGTTGTGAAATCACCACCACCGCAACCACCGCGTACCGAGCTGTGGGCTGAGATCTACGCTGACTGCGACATTCGCTTTGGGACTGTTTGCAGCTGGAGCCCGTGGTGGCTGCACCTGATACGTGGCAGCGGGAGACAGAACGTGCGGTGACATGGAATGCAGGGCGGTGACTCGGCGGTGAATGGGAGAGGATAGCAAACTGTGGAACTCGATGGGAATTGGCGAGAACTCGGGGACCATGGGTAACTTGCTGCGATGAAATGGCTCCTCGGAGTAATCATGAGAGGGAGGAACGTTTTCTCAACACAAATTGGACACATGCTGCAGTGGGGGGGGGGGGGGGGGGGAGAAACCACGACGCTGCTCCCTTAACTCATTTAAGCGGAAAGCCCAACGAAAAAAGTAATAACCTTCTGTCACATATACAAGCACACGCACTCCAGGCATGCAGCCTCTTCCAATAAACGCGTGTAGATCACAAGGCCATGCATAAAACCATCGCCACCTTTATGAGGCCGCGCATCTTTAGAGGCGCGTGTCCGCTCGACAAGTCGCTCCTCCCATGGCGAGACCCTAAATCCACGGGCACAGAGGGAAGTTGCATCAACAGAGTCGCGTGGAGAGGGCCCCCACCCCACAGGACGGCTCGAGGAAACCGCTCACCGCCCATCGGTAGTTCCCTGAGCGCACGCGCCTCGAATGATCAGCCACGTGGCCTTGCAGCTGCACTTAACATCCCATCACCGCGATTTGGTTCGAGTAGACATCGCACGTTCACCCTGCGTCGAAACGCAACGGCATCTCAAGACACAGCCACCAAACGGTCTCACGTTCACGTGGCGTGGATCACTCCGTGAGAACGTAACAAGTGTCACCGTGCCTCCTCCTCGATCACACGAGCATTGCCTGGCGCTAAGTTCATTTCGAAACCCAGTAACTGGTGCTGTTGGAACTTCCACATTTCTGCGTCGAGGATGAGAATACCCATAGCACTACTGCACTGCTGTTGACTTCCTAAATAATATACAGTATTCAACTTTACTGGCCCCAGAAGGATGATGGGTTGAATCGACCCATGGCCAGGATCTTAACTAGAAACGTTCTGATGGTGAGGTGAGCACTCTGCAGCATCATCAGTGATGGGTCTTTATAATGGATTCTGGTCCCCATCGCAGGAATGTGGAATTTCCACCACGGGCACCGATACGCGCCTGACATCACTGGTGTAGAAATGCCACCTCCTCTCGTGCCGACCAATATCGTCGGCTGTCGCTCAACGCGTGAGTGGCCACACCTCGCCTTCTCAAGGGCGAAACGAATAGCACTCGAGACAACACGCGTCCTGTCCGATACAAACAAATTTGTCAACAGCGCTTCCTCACGAAGGATGTGTACGATGTGTGACGCTTCCCCTTCGAAGAAGGGCCAGTGCCTGAAACGTCGCCGATTGAACACCGTGCTCAAGTCGTGCGAGTTATGTGTGTGTGCTTGTGTCTGTGCTTGTGTGTGTGTGCGTGTGTGTGTGCTTGTGTGTGTGTGTGCTTGTGTGTGTGCTTGTGTGTGTGTGTGCTTGTGTGTGTGCTTGTGTGTGTGTGTGCTTGTGTGTGTGTGCTTGTGTGTGTGCCCTGCCAAATCGCAGCACTATCAGCGAACAACTCGATTGTCTATATCGCCAGAGCGTCGTGTAAACACCTCGTGATGCCGCTGGATCTAATCTCCAGCGAATTGTCGTGCAACAACAACGACAACAACAATGTCAACATCGTTGCCTGATTTTTTTTCACCGCCCCTCCTCCGGTTTGTGCTCAACCAGCGCACCGAATGTGACACAAACACGACCATCTAAGTCAAGAGACACACATTATGACCCAATTAGAGTCCCCTTTCAGATACAAGCTGCAAATATAATAAGTGTACACCACGCTATTCTTCTCTCTCACTCTCTTCTTTAAACTATTTGAAACATTTTATGTTCCACCAGGTGAGGTCCACATGAGCTATATCGCTTGTTTTCAGAAGCGACCTGGCCACTAGTGACAGCTCAATGCGTGTTGATTCTAAAATGTGGAGGGGGAAACCGGAGGACCCGGAAAATAAATCCACGCGACCACGGGGAGAAAGAAAATGCAAACTACAAATATACAGCAGCAGGCGTCAGGCTCGGAGTCGAACCCACGACCTCCTGTATACCAAGAGAGGTAGTTAACACATCTTGCGGCACACCTCTGTGCCCATGTTTGCATGTTTGGGAGCATTGCGAATTGCTGTACCTCGAACCACGTGCTTGTCCATCGCGTTCCCCATTCCTCCTCCTCCGGGATGAGGTCTCCGCGGCTCCTCCCGGCTCCTCCCGGTTCCTCTTACCGCAGCTCACGCGCCTTGCCGAGACTCGGACTCGTTCCGCGCACAAGCCCCTGCGACCCGGACCGGGACTCAAACCCGCGCTCCACAACGCAGCTGCGCTCCCTGCAAAATCTCTCCCCAGGCGTCACGCCCAGGCTCGTCGTGGTTGTCCGTGGACACAACACGTGGACACAACACGTGCACGCACGCACGGAGGGAAGGGCAATGTATGTGCGTTCAAATTCTTTCGCACCGTACGCAGCCAAACGTGCTGATAATTCACTGTGCTCTGGCTCACGATATGGCGTGGAGTAGTGATAACGAGGCTGCCGTAGTCTGCCTGCCTGTTGCTCGCTGTTGCTCTTCCTTCCCGCGCGAGCGTTTGTTATGAAGCTTAAGATGCTGGCGGCTTTTATAGACGCGTGTTTCTGCGTGTGTCACGTGGGCCGCGCCGAGCTCAACTCACGCGTCCCTCCCTCCCTCCTTCCCCCCGCCGAGAAACGAGAAGCGCCACCACCCCGCCTTCCCCCCGCAACACTCCCATCCATTCTACTCGGCGGGGACGGGGCGAGTTCCACATTTTACTTTGGGAAAGTCCGGGACGTCAGGACTGCGAAACCCCCGGACTGTCCCTGCACAGGACGCGTGGTGCCTGCAGGACGATGTGACACGAGGCCGCGGGGGAGTTTCCCTTCGCGTCCCGGCACGGGCCGCTGGGCCGTCAAGCAGGCTGGAGCAGGGAATCCCCTCCTAATAGAGATCACGACAAAGCACTTGCAAACAGAATCAGATGAAATACAAACTGCTGATTTACACTGTTTGTGCGTGACATCGAAGTGAATGTGTTTCTCTCTGTATATTGTCATGCGCAGTTCACAGAAGTTCAAAACACGTCCATATCTGATTATTATCAGCAGAGAGTTTCTGTTCATTGTTTTGTGTCAGTCTCAGGATAGTTGTGCTGTTTTAACAATGATATCACCCGCCACTGATGTTAGCCGTGCCCTTCAGTCAAACTCGTGCGTATCCGGATTTAAGGTGCTACATTCCCAGCGTCTGAAATCATTGGCTATCGAGCAATCAATGTCCTCGCGTCGGCTTTGGTGACCCCATCGTGATGTAAACTCGTTAGTTTGAAGGGATGTCGCGCGCGTTATTACAGAACTCCTCGTCTGGAGACGAGAGGACACTTGACAAGTCATGTCCAACACCCGAACTGGTCAATGCCATTATTTGGGATCGCGATTTGATTCTGGAATGTATGTTTAGATGGTTTGATGATTTACTTCATCTGTGTCTTGTTTGTACAGTTTGGTTTTCTCCATTCGACTCAATGGAGCATCAACGCATCAGTGACATAATTTGCATTAATCGCACGTAACTTATTCTCGCACGCAAAATTCATCAGTATATATTGTGAGGATGACAATCGATTTCAAATGGTGATTCTATGCTTCGTTAGATGCATGCGAGAGTGTAGTTGATGGTGATCAGTTTTATTTTGTTTTACCAGATGATGCATTCTTGTCAATTGAGACAATTACAGAATAGGCAGACTTCTCTGCCATTGTGAGGCTATTATGAGCCGTATGACGACTGCGTTATGCCCACCAAGGCACGCATCAGAATAATTCGCCTGCTGTCGGCATGCCTGACTCACTCCGATGTGCCGAGAGGGCTACCTCCTCCTGTTCCACGGGGACAATCAGAATCATCGTCAGACCACGGCCACCCAGGGGGGATTTGTGGAGGTGATCCAGTGTCCAAGAATCTAAAACTCATCGTCCGCAGTGCCCCCGTTTACAACAAGTTAATGTGTGCCGCATTCATTTACTTTGATTTGCGATTGGACCACTCGAAAGGGAGCTGGGTGGGTGGAGGCCATACGTGACTGGAAAATGAAGTGACGATGCTTATAGCAGCAGCATGGGATCATTATACCCGGAGGCTGCTTTAATTAACATTCACGTGCACTCGGTGGAAGCCACCTAAGAGACAACACGGGCGCGCTCCGTGTGCTGTAGACAAGGAAAACAGAGCACTTACAACACACCGAGCTGTGCGTGGATATCCTAATGTCGAGGGCACATTCAGCGAGAAGGCTGCATATTTATGCAAATTCTCGCGTGGTCGCAGGAAGGATGAATATTGGCATCTTGTAATTTGACTCTCAAGGTAATGTCGATGCTGTTGTGTGCTCAGCCTTCTGACTGAGCTGCGTGTGGACTCTGCGAAAACAACCAGCCACGTGACTTTTGTCTCAACGAAACCGAACACCAGTCAGCGTGTCGCCACGAAGCGATGGACAGGTTAAGTTTGCCGTCTGCTTGCGAACACGGGGGTCCTTGTCCACACCAATTAGACACTCGATTTCCATCCACGTCACCGACCTTTTCATTCCCCCACCCGAAGGGGCACCCCCTCCATCACAACGGGCACGGCTGCGTGTTGGGCAGCTCGTCAAGGCGACGTGGGGAGCAAGCCCGCCTGCTGTGTGGCGCACAGTGACGCGCTTCACCAGGGGACGAAAGTTGACAACCACATGACGTCACGGCGAAAGCTCAGGTCTGCTGATCATGGACCGATACTGAACGCACGTCTCTCTCCAGGGCCTTCCCCGCTCCCGGCCAGCGCCTGCTGGGGATGCCAGCCGAGTGGGTACTCTGCTTTTAACACCGAACAACCCCGCGATGAGACGAAAGTCTCAGACGCACGGGTCATCGTTGAAAAATAGAGAAGTGAAACACAGATCGTGGAGACGCATTCTTGGAATTCGACCGAGAAACAAATAAAGGAACAAACGCATCAGATAGAAAATCATGAACATTTCCAGTGATTAAATTTCCTAATGAATTTTGCGGGGGGTGAGTCAATGCATAGCATAGCCAATGTTGAATTCTCACGAAATGAAACTCATTTTGTCCACCTCATATGAGTGAATGGCTGAGTTGAGCCCTGGCCAGGCTTTGGATTCACGACCTTTCTAATTGTGTGCCATGCCCTATGAGCAGTGTGCTACTCAAACGGATTCCACACAAACACACACAGCACACGTCTCCTGGTTTGTACAAAGGAAGAACAATTATACGCAACGTGTTATTCTAGAGCTCTAAAAAAAAGTTCCACTTTCGTCATGGGTCCCCAGAGGACATTTTTTACTGATGAGCAAGACACGACCACCGAGTGTTTGGGGCCCAACTACAAAGTCGAGATTGATTGATGTCATGTGACCGCACCCGCTGTGGGTTGCCGGCACAGGTACAGGCTTCCTGTCTTGATGTCACCCGACGGATGGAACTCGCACGCTCGAGTGGACCCGCGCTCCTGCTGGAAGCCGTGGCACGGCGCAGCGGGGTCGTCACGGCCTGGCTCGGTACCCTCGTCGCAAGGCCAGGGAGAATGTTGGCCCAGAGTCTGCTGCTCAATCACCCCCCCCCCTCCACCACTGAGCGCATCAACTCCGCAAAAGCGGTTGGAAACTTCCATATTGATATTAATTAATATTGGTCCATATGAAAAAAAGTCGTTGCCTCAGAAGATAATGCAAACGATTTAAATGTATATGCATAATGCCTTTATTTAAGAAGTTATGTTTAATTATGAAGAAGTTAATAGAATAGAAACCTGAAGTCAGATTTATGAAGTGTTTGTTTTGCTCTCAGCTTGCTCGTTTTTGGCAGGATGACGGCCTGCGTTTGTTAACAAAAAAGATCTGGATATTTTCGCCGTTTGTAATTCATCAAGAGAGCCTCCTCCATCCTGGGGACGCGTTCCGGCTATCACGGAACTGGCCGTGGTCGTCTTCGTTGGGCACCTCGCGGTGACGACTCGATTGTTCCACAGCCTCAGGACAGCAAGATCAGGACCTTGCAGCTTCCAACTCCGCTGTCGCAGGTTCCATCGGCGGCTACCACCACCACCGCCGCCGCCGCCACACGCTCGACACTTTCGCAGACGTTGAACCAGTTCTGTATGCAAACCGAGAGCGAACTGTTTGACAAGCTTACGACGCATGAATATTTTGTTCTCGTGATACGTTAGGCTGTAAGAGTTGTGTATTTATAAACGCCCTTTTTATTTTAAAGATATACTGATGTGGGTCAAGGTTAATGTACATGCGAGTTTTATCTTTACACAGTGTATCACGAGGAAGCGACACTTGTGAGTGTGGTGTAAAGAGTACGTTTTTGTTGTTGTAATCTTTCCACTTGAACGCAAACATGGTTTAATTCCAAAATTTCAGCATAGTTTATCGGGTGTGTTCCACGGTCGAGTTCACCTCTTAAATCATAGATATGCATTACTCAAAACCAATAAGGGGAAGTATCCATGGCTGGTGCAGCCAGTAAAAAATTCGATCGTGGGAGGAGCGATGGGGAAGTGTTCATCGCGCGCTGCGGTGTGAACACCGTCGCTAGTTCGATGCCACTCGTGGCGAGTCTCCAACCTAGAATCTCACCCAGATCCAGAACAACGCTGGCGAGCAGAGTGGAACAACGTGGACGTCCAGAATAAACACCTCCCCGTTCGAGACCCAAACATCTCACCTCGTGGCTTTGACATTCCTCCTCGAAGACAACGGTGGCGGAAGCATCAACCGCATCAGAGCGTCAACAGGTTGATGCGCACAGCTGTTTCACGAATGGATTGTGGCCATTCAATCCAAACTGTGGACCATATCGTAAACACCCACGTCTGTGAGCCTTCAATGGAGGAGGAAGAGGGAAATTACACAAACTCTCTCCTGTTGCCTTCTCGTGGCTGGCAGAATTTAACATTGGCATTTGGCTCCTCAACCACATGACCAGTATACGCAAGAATAGAAGAATAGTGGCGAGCGATATCTGAAATTAGTCATGCCCCCCCCCGACCCCCCAATAAACCTGCACCGATAAAATGGTGAAGTATGGTCAAACAACCACCATGCCCATCTACTCACATATCTACTCACTCACCCGATCACTCACCCAGCCACTCTCCCACTCACACACTCAACCCAGTGATTCACCCAGTGACTCGCTCGCTCACGCTAGCGGTGTGCGAAACGTGGAACTCGCTGCTGGTCGCGGTTTGTGATTCGTTTCCAGCTGTCAGCCAGTTCTGTTGAAGTAGACTCGCGACAAATGTGCTATTCATCATAAAATAAAGTGCTCTCGTTAGATCGCGGAAATATAATAGAATTGCGTTCTGGCAAATCGCCCGATGAAGCTGGTTGTTGTTGTAATCACCAGCGACACGTCACAGTACTCAAATAGTAAATGTTGTGGGTTTACTCTCCAACACACCGGTGTGCTGAAGTAGTAACTAATTGTCACGTTTTGTTTACGCGACAAACCTTACTAATTGACTGCGTGCGGTGGTGGTGGGTTAACGTCACATTTCTATTTACGCAATCGAAC